AGGTAAATTTTTGCGGCCAGAGCTGGTCGTAACCTGAAAGTTCGTTAACAGAGGCATTCGTAACCCGAGGTACCACTGTACCACCTTTCACTCCCACCAGAGATTTCCCCAGCAATTGGAAGGGCCTAGGCCAGTTTCTTTGCATGGATGGGTACTTTGGCCAAGACGCTTGGGTTATACTCTGAAAACAAGACATCTGGCAAATGATATTAACCCCAAAGCAATCTTGCTCTTTGGGACCTCAGCAGCTGTCTCCATCATCTCCAAGTGCTGAGATGTCACCAGATCTGAGGACACCTTGGATTAGGTGGTTCTTGGTTGGCCATTAGCCCAGTCAGATGTCCTTGGAGCGCAGAATCACACGGGTTAGGTCCAGAGATCCCATCTGATAAATGGCTGACTCGCTCTCTGCTTTCCCTAGCAATTGTCTGGTGGTATCCTATGAGGTTTTGCATCAAGGCAGCCCTGTCCAAGCAGCAGTACATGTGCTTGGGATGTGGCAGCCCATCCTTTTTTGGGAGGTGTGTTCTGGGCTATCGGGTTCTTGAGAAGGAGTTCTGCAGGAGAGAGGCAAGCTTTTTCAGCCGCTCTGTATATCCATCTCTATTCCCTGGAGGAATAACTGGGCAAGGTGGAAAGGGCCCACCTTTGACTTGTTGTAGAGTTCATACAACGCAACTGACTGGGTGTGGGTCAAAATTCTCAACCACCACCACCACCACCATCACCACCACCATCACCACCACCACCACCACCACCACCTTCTCCTCCTCCTCTCCTCTTCTCCTCTCCTTCTCCTTCTCCTTCTCCTTCCTCCTCCTCCTCCTCCTCCAAGGAATTTAGAGATACATCAATAAAGTATATTCTGGGAGCTGAAGTCCACACATCTTACAGTTGCCAAGTCTGAGAAACACCAACCTAACCTATCAAGGAGCTTAACCAATCAGTTGACACCTGGACAACCTCAGGATCACTCATGGTACCACAGCAGAAACCTCTTCGGCATGAGGAGAACACCTTTACCCTGAAGTAAACCCTGGTCTACCCACACGAGTAACAAAATATCAAGGCCCTCGTAGGCTCTGAATTCCCAAAGCAGGGCTGGGTGGTTTTGCTCCCTGTTCCCATAAATACTAGCCTCACCAATACATACATTTCTGCAGCCATAGCTGTTCATACGAAGACCCTGTGAGATTACGTGTGCCATGTTGTCATGACACAAATGGGGCCCCATCATGCAATTTGCCTGATGATGTCATGTTGCTCATGATGTCACCCCCTTAGCCAGCTAATGAAACAAGGAGACCCATATTTTTGGAAAACAATTCTCCTATACTATATCTACAGTGACCATGCATCCTTTATTATAAAAGACAGTTCTTTATTTCTGAAAGCTACCCTTTAGATCAGGGTTCCTCAACCTCAGCAACTTTAAGATGGGTGGACTTCAACTCTTAAAGTTGCTGAGGTTGAGGAGCCCTGCTTTAGATTGATTTATTTTTCTTTTCCTTTCTTTTGGTCACTTCACTTTTACTGTATAAATGGTGGAATTTGACAGATCTTTTTAAAATCAATTTATATCTACTGTTTGATCTTTGATATTTTTATTAGAAGATGCATTATTGCAAAGTTTGTCTTGGTTTTGCTCTTGACTTTTCCTTTGTCCTGCCAAGTCATCAACCTAAACAATTACATTTTTGATCCTTGGGAACCTCTTTCAGATTTGCCCCCTTTTCAGGTGGGTTCTTTATTTTTGCCAAGAAAATAGAGTCACCGGAACGAGACCCTTCGAACGGCGTCACAAAATTTGGAGATATTTGCGTTTCAATGGGTGAATTAGATTGGAGGGGTGGCAGAAGCCATTTTGCTCGAAAATGGAGGTCAAGCACATGCATTCATCGTTCTGTTCAAATGCGAAGCCATCAGAGTTCGTTGGGGAAACTAGTTCACCCTTTGAACCTCCCATCTCCTTTGGTGATTGTTCCTCCTCTGACAACCTGTGCATGGCCAACCTTTTGGCCCTTCATTTCCATGGGAGTCACGCTCTCTGTTCCCTGGAAAGTTAGAATATGCTATCCCTAACATGCCTCAATTTAAAAAGAAATAAAAAAAACTCCACTGGAGAAATCCAGGGAATGACATAGCCTATGTGGGATTGTTCCTCCATGCGAACGCAAGACATCCTGTTTTCTTTCTACATTCTTTCTCATCCCCTCTGGGAATCCCCTTAATAGACTGTAGTCACTCCATCAAGGGGCTATGTCTGTCTCTAAGAACAAAAGCAAAGAGGAACAGGAGTCTGGACAAACTTAGAAGAAGTTCAGGAGGAGTGTCTGGAGAAGAGGAGAGCCCCAGTGCCAGAAAGGAAATAGCTGTCCAGTCTACATTTGGAAGTTGTTATGGGATGGGGGATAGTTACAGACTCTAATAATAGATGCAACAGCGAGGGAAAAAAAGAGCAGGAGGAGATGCTGGTCAAGAAGAAATGGGAAGAACGTTATTTATGAAAGCTAACTCAGTAGATGCTTAGTCAACTCTTTCCTACAAACATATCCATCTCACTCATGAGTGTCTGGAGGGAGCATGGGGGCAAGTGACAAAGCGGGCATCATGACATCGTGGCCCAAAATGGGTGACTAACTTGTGTCCGACAGCAGGACCCAAGTACATAAGCGTAGATTTGTGCTATGACGTCACTGCACACGTGCTTCATTTGGACATCATCTTGGTTTGCTGAGGATGCCCATGGCCGGGGGTCTTTCACTAACCTGGTGAAGTGGGGGAGGCAAGCACTGCCACACTTCCTCCACTTGTTTGAACAGGTTAGAATTTGCAATCCTCTTCAGTCTCCAGTTCTGTGCATTCTATTATAATTATGATTTCTGTGGGACCTCTAGTCCAAGTAGATACTGCCTGTCCGAGACATGGAGGCAGAGAATACTGTACATGGCAAAAGTATTATGAAGGGCATCTGGAGGGGGCTTGGAGGCAGGCCTTCTCTGCTGGGGCTCCTTTGGAAAAACGAACCCCCCCCAAGAGAACGGTACCCTCCCTTTTGATTTTTAGGGAGCTAGGAAAAACCTGGTGGTTTGGGGGGCTTATTTTGCATTTTTAGTTTTGCTTTGGTGTTGTTGAAGTTTGAAGTTCATCATATGTGCATTAACTAAATAAATAAAATTTTAAAAAGGGTGACACATGGGGCTAATAGGATTGTTGTAACATTATTATTATTGTTGTTAAGAATAACAATCACATTAGCACGGTCCATCACTCATCCCAGATAATACTTACTCTCTTCAACTTTTACCACCCCAAACGTTTTCCAAAACGTCCAGGTCTTTACTAGCTTCCTAATGTTAAATAATGTTGTGGTGGTTGTTTACACACCGTCTACCAGATAGTTCTGTCTGGATTTGGTACATCTGACTATCGGATCCTTCCCAAGGATTTAAGATAAAGATGTCGCTGTAATTCATGTGCTCTTCCAAACGATGCCATTTTTTGTAGCCGATCACTTGAGTTCCTGCTGCCAATTCCTCTGGGGTCTGTGGGTGTTTCCAGATCTTTTAGGATGGTACCAAGTGAACCAACCATTATTGACACCACGACCACCTTCTTTTTCCAGATTCGCTCAATCTTCAGCCGAAGGTCTTTATGTCTTCCTGTTTTTTCTCATTCTTTCTCACTGACCCTTTTATCTCCGGCTATTGCAATGTTAATTATCCATACTTGGTTCTTTGTTGTTTCTATTATTATTAGTCTGAATGGTTTTGTAATCTACTTAGGACCAACTGACTAAAGCCACCTAGAGTTCCCAGTTGTTTTTTTTTAATCCGTTCAATCGTGTCCGATTCTCAGAGACAAAATAAGTCAGTGGCCGTGAGGTTCCCCAAAAGGCTCAGTGGGGCAAACTGTTATCTTGATTATTTCTTTGGGGGCTTAGTCTACTGTATTGTGCCAACTCAGCCCATTTAGTTTACAATTCAGTGTGAACCTAGAACATGGTTTAATTCAGTAACCAGGTTAAACATGTTGTGAGAATGCAACCCCGGGACATAGTAGCCTTCCTTCTTCTGGGAATACCTAGATTTGCACCTCCAATAAACTTAGAAGGGGTCAAGTTGGGAAGGAGTGATGTTGGTTATTAACACAGAGGGATCCTTTAGCAGAACACCCATTTTGCACACAACACACCCTGAGTTCAGCCCCTGCTGGAAAACTCTTCTATACAGAACCGGTCTGTGAGTGTTCTTCTCCAGTGTGAATATCATCACAATTTATATTCCCCTCTCTCTTTTCTTTCCCACAGAGAAACTTGGAGGCATTTTGTCAGGGCATGGAGCTTCACCAGGTGCCTACAGAGCTTCATCCCAATGTGTATAAAATTGACATCTCTGGGAATAAGATTCAGAATATCACGGAGAGGCCCCTGACCTTTTACGCCTCCCTCCGATATTTAGACCTAAGTTCCAACCTGATTGGTTTCATCAAGCCTGGGGTCTTTGCAGAGATGAAGAACTTAGAGGACATCAATTTGGCCAACAACCAGCTCTTTCTGTTGGCTCAGGAGGATCTGTGGATTGGATTACTACCCCAAGTCAGGACACTAGATCTGTCTCGCAACAGTCTCTACAATGGGATGGCAGAACATTTCCTTTACCACGCCCCCTCGCTTCAGATTCTTTCCTTGGCAGAGAACAGCATCATACATATCTCCCAAAGCATATTTCAGGGGTCTCCAGAGCTGGTTGAAATCAACCTGCACAACAATATGATTATGGAGATAGAAGAAGGAAGCTTTGAGAGCCTGTCGCATCTCTCCAAACTGAATCTTTCCATGAACTCACTCACTTGCATCACTGAGTTCAACCTCAGGCAGTTGGAAGTTCTTGATCTCAGCCGGAACAGCATTGAATCCTTCCATTCTACCAAATCAGAGGAAGACTTCAACTTGATCTGGCTTGACCTGAGTGAGAACAAGCTTCTTCGGTTCCCAGTTCTTCCTCAAGTCAATAAGCTGGCTTATTTGAACCTAACCAAGAACATAATGCAATTTGTTATGGTGGAATCACCCAGCGATGTGGAATATCAATGGCAGGATGGGCCTCGGTATCACTTGGGCCAGGATCAAAAGACCAATTCACATTCTCCATACTTGCCCGCCCTGATATACCTGGACCTGAGTTATAATGAGATCAAATCCATCCCAAGAGAGTTCTTTGCTTCCATGTTTGCCCTTCAGTTCCTTAATTTAAGCAAAAATTGCCTGCAGACTTTTGTGGCAAGCAACGAGCTGGCCTCGTTGTCTATCCTTGACATTAGTTGTAACTCTTTGGAGAACCTTCAACTGGACACCAACAACTTGGGCGTTTTGCAGGAGTTCCACCTTCAAGACAACCATCTTCAAGAGCTACGTTCAGATATCTTTCAAGGCCTCCCACATCTCCAGTGGCTTAATCTCAGAAACAACAAGCTCAGCCTATGTGACTTGCATTCAGGAACGGGAAGACAACGATTTTCATCCAAGGACCCCCACGGCTGCGTCTCATTCGTGCAAGTTCCTGAACTTCAATATTTGTATCTTTCTGCCAATCATCTGAAGAACCTGCCCGTGTACAGCTTCTTTGGAACAAAGCTCAGGGTATTGGATATCTCCATGAATTGGGGACTTCAGATAGAAGCCAAATCATTGGCGGGCTTGGAATTCTCGCTGGAATATTTGGATTTACACGGAAATGGCCTGACGACTCTGAATGTGGACTTTCCTCTTTTCCCTCACCTCAGATATCTCAATCTATCGGACAATCGCCTTAGCTGGTTGGCTCCTTGGTCAGAGAACTGCTGTGTCCTGGAAGTCTTAGATCTGCAAAACAACAGCTTCAACAGCTTGAAAAATAGCCAGATCCCAGCCCTGGAAAAAAATCTACGGAATTTGTACCTGGTGGGGAACCCGCTCAGTTGTTGCGGGAACATCTGGCTCTCTCATATGATCCACAAAGCCGTGGTGGAGATTCCTAATTTAGACCTGGTCAAGTGCCAGTACACCGGGGGTTTTGGGTTTGAGGAAGAAGTGCACGTGAGCCACGTCAAGCCGGAGGACTGCGAGAGAGAAGACCTCAAGAAAATCAGCCTCTTGATTTTGCTGGCCACCCTCCTGGTCCTCTCACTGATCGTCGTGGGAGTCGGCTTGGTTTGTTGTTATCGGAGGCACTTATTCGGACGCCATTATAAGGCGTAGGCCGAGAGCCCTTTCAGGATGGCATTTCCATCTTTGGGGCACCGGATCACGTGGAGCCAAAGGGGCGATCCGATTCGATTCGATTCCACCAGGGAGTTTTCGAAAGGCTGTGAAAGTTTGGAGTATGGGGTTGTGACTCATTCACACGCCCAAATCCTCACTGGGGGATGACATTTGTGAGAAACCATGGGGCCAACATGCTCCTTTATAGGTCTAGACCAGTGTTTCTCAACCTTGGCCACTTGAAGACGTGTGGACTTCAACTCC